TGACAAATTCGCTATTAGTCAATTGCAAAAGGCGGCCTTACTAGGAACTGCTTCCATCCTGCGACGATATCTGTAATACCATCAAACATCCACATCTGCCTATCCCAGGTCCTGGGTAAGGACTCGATAGGTAGACAAAATGCCAAATCCAGTCTGAACATCTGGCTGACTGTGCGATGATCCATAATAATAATAATAGCAGTAGTAGTAGTAGTAGTAGTAGTAGTAGTAGTAGTAGTAGTAGTAGTAGTAGTAGTAAAGTTGGAAGGAACCTTGAAGGTCATCGAGTCCAACCCCCTGCTCAGGCAGGAAACCCTACACCATTTCGGACAAATGGCTGTCCAGTCTCTTCTTAAAAACTTCCAGTGTTGGAGCATTCACCGCTTCTGGAGGCAGGTTGTTCCATTGGTTAATTGTTCTAACTGTCAGGAAGTTTCTCCTTAGTTCTAGGTCGCTTCTCTCCTTGCTTAGTTTCCATCCGTTGCTTCTTGTCCTGCCTTCAGGCGCTTTGGAAAATAGTTTGACTCCCTCTTCTTTGTGGCAGCCCCTGAGATATTGGAACACTGCTATCATGTCCCCCCTCGTCCTTCTCTTCATTAAACTAGACATACCCAATTCCAGCAGCCGTTCCTTATATGCTTTACCCTCCAGTCCCCTAATCATCTTTGTTGCTCTTCTCTGTACTCTTTCTAGACCTGGATGCAGTATTCCAAGTGTGGCCTTAGCAAGGCATTGTAAAGTGGTATATTAACACTTCACGTGATCTTGATTCTATCCCTCTGTTAATGCAGCCTAGCACTGTGTTGGCCTTTTTGGCAGCTGGTTCCTTCTTCTGGTTCCTAGTTTACCCAGGTTCCCAATTTCTTGTTAATTACCCAAGAAATGGCTGGGGAATTCTGGGAGTTGACATCCACACGTCTTTAAAGTTGCCGAGGTTTGGAAACCGTGGTTTAGAGCAGGGGTCTTCAAACTTGGCCCTTTTATGACTTGTGGACTTTAACTCCCAGAATTCCTCAGCCAGGCACGCTGGCTGAGGAATTCTGGGCGTTGAAGTCCACAAGTCATAAAAGGGCCAAGTTTGAAGACCCCTGGTTTAGAGTTCAGAGAGCTACTTGACAGTGAGGGATGCACAAATGACGGTTAATTAAAAATAGATACAGTAGATCTGATTCTCCCCAGCCATGCTTCTAATAATTTTCTCATTGTGCGCTCCGAAGAATCTTACAATTTCACAACTTTTTTTAGAGGTCTGCGACTGAAAGCAAGTCATTGCTTTCAGAAGTCCCAAGTTCTCAGGTTGCACAACTATTGAGTCAAATAATTATTTTACAATCTTGATGAATATGGCCAGGGGGTCCTCCCCATCTAAAAATGGATGCTGATGAGTTGAGGCACCTTTTCCTGAGGAGGCAGCCATGGTTTATCATTGTGTGTGTGTGTGTGTGTGTGTGTGTGTGGTTTCCATCCCGGAGCTTGTTAGTGGATTAACATCCCACCCTTATCCATTCATCTTCTGGTTCCTTGTTTACCCAAGTTTCCAATTCCTTGTTAATCTTAAATGTTTTTCTAATATTGTAATGTTTGTTTATCCTTGTTTTATGCTGTTGTGCGCCATCCAGTCACTTGATTGAGATGGCCAGCCTATAAATTTAATAAACAAGCAAGCAAACCAATAAATGGTACCTCTCCCCCCTCCCGCTTCCCCTTCCCCCTCCCCGACTCATTGATGTGCCTGCTGTTCTCAGGAGGACATTTCTCGCCTTCGGCGCAAACTGGAAAAGCAACGCAAAGTGGAGGTGTATGCAGATGCTGATGAGATCCTACAGGAGGAGATCAAGGAGTACAAGGTGAGGAGAGCAGGAGAAGGAGGTTTGTAAATTAAGGGAAGCTCTTGCTAACGCCCCAGCCCCTCACACTGCGGTCTGTGCACCTCCTCAGGCTAAGCTCACCTGTCCCTGCTGCAACACGCGCAAGAAGGACGCCGTTCTCACCAAATGCTTCCACGTCTTCTGCTTCGACTGCGTCAAGACCCGCTACGACACCCGCCAGCGGAAATGCCCCAAGTGCAATGCTGCCT